TTTAGTAATTGAGTCGAGGTTGCAAAATTGAAAAATATCATGTGATCATTTGTGACAATCCTCCACTCTTTCTTGTTAGACGTCACATTAAAGTTCTTAATCATATATATATCCCTCTCTGAGCATTTCTCTAAAATCATATGCATCTTTTCGTTTAATTTAATTGAAGCATGTATGTATTGTCTCTGTTTCATTAGCTTCGTTAGTTCTTATTTTGAAGAGATATAAGGTTAATAACATATATAAAAATATTGGAATAATACATGGTAGTTGTTGTGCAAAATACTTATATCTCCTAGTATCATGTCAATACCTAGAAAATGATTGGTTTTCGGGCTAATTACATCCCCAATTTAATTAGTGATTCTTACTTTTAAAGTCCATCCTTGCCTCTCATTGCTAATCTTCAAGTCCTTGATGAGATTATATTTTTCTAGTTCCAACGATGTCCTATCTCTAAAAAATCATTAGGAAACAAAAAACATGTTAATTATATATAAATTATAGAGGGAAAAAAATTGACATACATCAACATCTCCTGTAATGATGCAAGCATTCTATTATACAGACTACACGCGTATATCAAATAATCCCAAAAAATATATATATGGAAGATTTTATTGTTAGCGATAATATAATTCCTTGTTGATTAAACATGCAAGGATTTTTTTTTTTTTTTTTTTTGACAACAGGTAAAAAAGGAGGCTAGCTCTCAATTTACTCAGCTCGAAACAAATAATTACGAAAATAAAAAAAATTGGTCAAGGATAGTCTCTACGCAAGAAGTTAGTATTTATAAGATGATTTTCAAAGCTTTCTGTTTTATGCAATAGGTTTCTTTTGTTTTGTGGACTTTTAAAAGGCCATTAACAAACATGAGCCCATTAGGATCAATTGATTTGAAGGAATCAAATGGTGCACGCAAAACATATCTTTATATAATTGCACGATTTGTTTGTTTGATTTTTTGTTTTTAATATAGACGATTGTCTATTTGAAATTTTAATTCTGATGGTACTATGATAGCAATTAGTATTTGATTTGATATATTTTCATTATTACTTATCGAAAATAAAACTCTAATAATAACTTTTTTATCCTAAACAAATCTATCAGATTCGTCGCTTAATTATCATCAAACGTGTCAAAGTAATCTGATATGTCGCCTACGTGGCGCGACACTTGGCAAAAAGTTGAAACGCCGAGTGCCGTTGTCTCGTGACCTGGCTAAAAGTTTAGCTTTATATATTAGTTATAATTTTGTGCCCAGGCGATGCGCAGATCGTTGATAAAATTTTGTAGTTTTTGTAGTTTTGTTTGTAAATACATATCTATGTTATTATTGACTTGAAATTATTTTATATTGAACTTAAATTATTTTTACTGAACTGAAAGTATATTTACCAATTACTGATAAAAACTTATTTTTACCGATTCTCTATTATTTTTTAAATAAATTAAATAACAATGTATTTTGTATGCGGCTAACCACATCATTTGGCCGGACAAAATAACCTCTATAAAATTGACCGAGTAACCCCTGTAATACTAACTGAGTAAACTCTAACACTGACTAAGTAACCCCTATCTATAACACTGATTGAGTAACCACTATAACACTAACTAAGTAACCCATATAGCCCTATCGAAGTAACTCTTGTAATAGTTTATGACACGGTTTGGCCAACTACGTATTAAAGGTTGTGATTAAATATATTATAAATGGATCTTATTTTAAAGAATTTTTTAAAACGAATTTGATGATGGAAATAGAATTGAGTTATAGAATATTTATTAAAAGTTATGATTAATTTTGCATATATGAAATATTAGAACTCTATCAATAATAAAACTCTATACAACAATTTTATCTTAAAAAATCTATCCAAAAATTATTTACTTAGCATTATATGTGTCACAATAATACTTATTTATCTCCAATGTGGCGCAACACTTGGCGAAAAACTGGAATGCCAAGTGTCGCTGTCTCGTGGACTGGCTAAAAAGTTTAGCTTTATATCCGGGCGATGCCCGGATGGTTGATAAAAGTTTAGGATAAACTTTTTGAATTGAATGTTAAATACGATCACATCCTTTTGATAATGTAGGATATTTAGAGATACTGAACTGAAATTATTTTTACTGAACTAAAAGTATTTTTACCAAAACCAAAATTATTTTTCATGATTAAAACTTATTTTCACTGATTTGAAAATAAATTAAATATATTATAAATGAATCTTATTTTAAAGAACTTTTTAAAACGAATTTTATGATGGAAATAGTACCGAATTATAAGATATTTATTTAAAGTTATGATTAATTTGTATATATGAAATATTAGAAGTATATCGATAATAAAACTCTATACAACATTTTTATCTTTAAATTTTTTTCCAAATTTCGCTTACTTAGTATCATATGTGTCACAATAATACCTAGTTTTGGACATTTTTTTTTTTTGATAACTTAAATTTCCAAAATGACAAGTTTTGTCAAATTCAAGGCGTTGAGATGAATAGAGAAAGATTCATTTCGGTTGAAGGGAATCTTGGCTCCGTTTGGTAGGGCGTAAAACATTTTCACTGAAAAGTGTTTTCCCATTTTACATTGTTTGGTTTGGTGTAAAACATTAAAATGTAAAACTTGGGGTGGAAAATCATTTTCCACCCTATTGAAAACATTTTCCCTCCAATTTAGAAGGAAAACATTTTCCATCACAAGTGGAGGGAAAACATTTTTCATCACAAGTGGAGGGAAAACATTTTCCCTCACAATTGAATTTTCAGTTCAACCAAACAATGGAAAATGCTTAAAATGGAAAATCATTTTCCATTCAACCAAACAACGGAAAACTTTTTTGAAAATGAGTTTTCCATTGTAAAATGATTTTCATGGAAAACCATTTTACATTGAAAATGTTTTACACCCTACCAAACGGACCCTAAGATGAAAACTTGCATCTTCCAAAAAGATTTATTGGGTAATGGGTATTTATGGTAAATATAAAAAGTTCTTGTAAAAATATCTTATTAAGATTTTTATCCGCTGGTGTATTTCTAGTAAATGCATGAGATAATTTGATTTGAATAAAACTAGGTTAGAACCCATGCGATGCACGGTTTATATAAAACCTATTTTTATAATTTGTACATTAAAAACAATGGCTATTAGACATGAATATAAATAAGAATTATGCACCTTATACAAAAATATTTGTAATTTTAAAATTTTAGATTTTCATCAAAATTATGATATAGTATTTGTTTAACGTCGCCTAATATACATATTTCAATGTAGGAGGTTATTTATTAGTGCGCTACTATTTAATTTTTGTGTCTGGGCGATGCACAGATGGTTGATAAAATTTTAGGATAAACCTTTTGACTTGAATGTTATATATGATCATATTATTCCTTTTGATAATCCAAGATATTTAGACATACGATATCATATTGCTTATTTATAATAGTGTACTTTATGTAGTTTTGCTTGTAAATAGATATCTATGTTATTATTGACTTGAAATTATTTTTATTGACCTTACATTAATTTTACTGAACTGAAAGTATTTTTACCAAACTAAAAGTATTTTTTCTGATTTTTTTTTTTATTTTTTAAATAAATTAAATATACTATAAATGGATCTTATTTTAAAGAATTTTGTAAAGCGAATTTTATGATGGAATTAGAATTGTGTTATAGAATATTTATTAAAAGTTATAATTAATTTTGTGTATTTGAAACATTAGAAGTATATCGATAAAAAAACTCTATACAACATTTTTATCTTAAAAAATCTATCTAAAATTCACTTACTTAGCATCATACGTGTCACAATCAATAACTATATACTAAAAGACACACCAGCAATGACACATGTCAATTTCTGGTGTATTCTTAGTATATTTTTTTTAATAATTAATTACTAAATATTATTTAAGGAAGTTATTTAAAAAAAAAAGTTTGTTTTTTTGTCAACTATATAAATGAGCAATAATATTTACCATTTTTATGTTGATACTCAATTAATTAAGGAATAATAAGAAAATATATAATATTTTTCTAGAAGATTTATTTTTGATGGAATATTTTTTAAGAATATGATCTTGATCAAATATTCCATGTTACTTCAATTTTGTTCAAGATATTAAATTTTTTTTATATTTTATGCTATAAATAAATTAATTTGTCAAAAGTAATTAAAATAACGTACCGTGCATGACACGGGATCTAACCTAGTTACATCTATTTGTCGCCTACGTGACGCGACACTTGGCAAAAAACTGAAATGCCAAGTGTTGTAGTCTTGTGTCCCGGCTGCGAGACCAGTTTTATTTAGGAAAATTTAACGGGAATAATCCAACCTTTGCTCCGTTCTCCCATATTAAACCAACCTTTCGATTATTCCGCATTAATCCAACCTTTGCCCCCCATTTTCTCCCAGCAACCCTTGTAGGTCAGCAACCGGTTTCAACCGGTTTTTATGATGACGTGGCACTTCATAATTGGTTTTTTGTTTTTTTTTTAATTTACTTTTTTTTTTTTAAATTTGGGTTGTAAAAATTTTTTTTAAAAAAATTAAAAAAAAAAAAGGAAACCACCCCTAGTGTTTCTTCTTTCTCTCTCTTCCCCTATCACAACCATTCTTCTTTCTCTCTCCTTTCTCTGCCTTCCTCCATTACCACTTCACCTCCCTCAACTCACGACACAAACACCAACAGCCACCACCGCTTCAGCCCAAAAACACCAACACCAAATCAGCCCCTGCCACCAATCAGCCCTCACAACAAGCAATTTCGGTCACTTATTGCCGCCACAATACCACCATATTAACACCACCTCACGAAGTTGGATGCGGTGGAGGTGGGAGGCTGGGAAAGGTAATAGGGGTAAGGGAAAAGGGTGGGTTTCAGGGCGGCTGCCGGAATTAGGGTATCGGGGTGGTGGTGGTTTAAGGAGCGTGGAAAGGGGAGGGGGCGATTATCGGGGGCTAGGGAAGGGAATTGGGGTCTGGGAAGGACAAGGGGTGGGTTTCGGGGTGCTTGGGTGGGTTATAGGGTGGCTGACGGAATTAGGGTCTTGGGGTAGTGGTGGTGGCTGCTGGTGGTGGGGTTGTGTGGTAGTTTCGGGCTGTGGGGGTAGGGTGGGGTGGGCAGTGGTGGTCGAAAATGGAAGGGGCGGTTCTGGTGGTGGGGACGGGGTGAGGGTGCGCCGGAGTATTGTAATGGTGGTGGAGATGGGGTGGTTTAAGTGGGTGGCTAGCATTGAAATGGGTAAGGAGGATTTCGTGGGTGAGAGCTTGTTTTGGGGTGGAGGGGGGTTGGCTGTTTTGGTGGAAGGTAGTGGCTTTTTTGGTGCTAGTGGTGGCCAAAGGTGTAGTGGTGGTTGTTTTTGGTGTAAGGTGGTCAAGGGTGGTGAACAGAGGTGGAGCTTTGGGTGGTGGTAATGGAGGAAGATGATGGCAAATGGTAAGAGGAAGGAGAGGGAAAGGGATGACCGGTTGTTTAGGTAACTGGTCATTTGGGTTCATTTTGGGAAGAAGAAGGGGGGCAAAGGTTGGATTAATGCGGAATAATCGAAAGGTTGGATTAATATGGGAGAACGGAGCGGTTGGATTATTCTCGTTAAATTTTCCTTTTAGATTTATTAGTGATATATATGATATGATATTAGATTTTAAATACGAAGTATAAAACACAAAAAGAAGTTTTTACAAAGTATTCACTCTGTTTTTTTCTCTGTTTTAGAACTTCTTTTCCATCGGTATTGCAATCGCAGTCCAACGTCATGGCTCTGGTAAGATTTTTCTCTTTTTCCGCTATTGATTGTCCAAAATGATGAATTTAATCGCCGAAATCAATTAATTTCGCTTGATCATGATCTTGTTAGTATTGTTTATTGGCTGCTTTTGGATTTCACTTTGAATCTGTAAATGTTGATTTTTTTATTTTTTTTTTAATTTATTTATTACTCTATGTAGTTTAGTTGCAAATCATCTTGAATTTTGTTTCGGATTGTTGATTTGATGTTACTGACTATATACTAATACTGATGTTGATGATTTGAATGAATTGGAAATTCGATGAAAACGATGTCTAAGTTTGTTTACATTCGAATGATTTGAGGGTCCTGTTAAATTTTTGTGATTTTTCTGTCCCTTTCGAACTTGGAATTGCTTGATTTTGTTGATTGCACCCATTTTAAGGAGTATAATCTTTAAATTTGCTTGTTTTTGCTAATATTGATTGCATTTTTCTATCGATTTGCTATAAGTTTCACTGAGATTTCTATATCATCTTTTGCAACTTTCATGGGGTGTTATTTTCGTCCAGTTGCTTAAATGCTGATCTCTACTAAGCACTGATAAGTGTGGAAATACGAGTGTATCGCCGTGATAAACATGGATTGCAAATCAAGTGAAAATTATGTAAATAAGTAAAAAAAATCATACCCATTTAGCATAACATAATGTTTTCGTAATGACATCAACAAGTCTTATTAAATTACGATACTGACAATAGTTGATTTTAGTACGATAATGCCATGCTGAGAGGGTATTTTTGTTGACCCACTTGATTTGCAATTTTTGTCTATCTAGGTGATACTAGTAATAAGTTTGTCAATATTTGTGTTCCTTATCATTAATATCAGCGATTTCATATTTTCCATTTGTCGCGTATGATTTATACCATCTGATTGGTTCAATGCATTGGCATTTGGTTGTACATGTTAGATTATTTATTTCAGTCTGAAGTTTTTTCTTCTTCTCCTCAGGTCTTGCATACATTTCTCCCAAATAAGAATTCTTTCAAGGCTCTTATTGCTGCAGAATACAGTGGTGTAAAAGTCGATGTCAACAAAGATTTTGAGATGAGTGTTACCAACAAATCGTCAGAGTTTCTTAAATGGAACCCCATCGGCAAGGTAGCCTATCCATCTTTGAGGGTATTATTTTCTTTTGAAGTATAATTGTTGACATGAGAAATGCCTGTTTTCAGGTGCCAGTTCTGGAAACTCCTGATGGACCTGTATTTGAGAGTAATGCCATAGCTAGATATGGTGAGTTTATGCTGCCTCTCCTGATAAGATCTTTCTCATCTAGCTTTACTTCTTTATTAATTAAATCGTATATTTTGCAGTTACAAAGTTGAAGGCTGATAATCCTCTTTTTGGCTCTTCGCTTATTGAAAATGTAAGATTGAACTTCAGCAAGAGGAATCATGAATGCTTGGTTTATATTTTTTTCTAAATGCAGCTGTGGTGTTTCTTAGCATGATTCACTAAATTCCTTGTATGGTAATTTGATTTTCTATATCTTGTGTTTGTTAGGCCCACATTGAGCAGTGGATTGACTTTGCATCTTTTGAGATCGATGCCCACATTTCTCGTTGGCTGTATCCTAGACTTGGTTTCTCTGTATATCTCCCTCCGGTCAGTTGACATAATTGTATATTATCTGTGAGATCTATATATTATTGCTTAAGGCACAGTAGCTCATGTCACTCTTCTAATATCTTGAAGGCTGAGGAATTTGCCATTGCTGCACTGAAGAGGGCCCTGGAAGCATTGAGCAAACATCTTGCTTCCAATACTTTTCTGGTTGGAGACAGTGTTACATTGGCTGATATTATCATGACCTGCAACTTGTTTAATGGGTTCAGCCGAATCATGACCAAGAGCTTTACTTCAGAATTCCCTCACGTCGAAAGATATGTCTGGACCATGGTTAATCAGCCAAACTTCAAGAAAGTGTTGGGTGAAGTAAAACAAGCAGAGTCTGTTCCACCTGTAGCAAAGAAGCCAGCTCATGCGCAGCCTGCTAAGCCCAAAACTAAGGAGGAGCCAAAGAAAGAGGCACCCAAGAAGGTAGAGGCACCAGCAGAGGAGGAAGAGGCACCCAAGCCAAAGGCAAAGAATCCACTTGATCTTCTATCCCCTAGTAAGATGGTATTGGATGAGTGGAAGAGGCTGTACTCCAACACTAAATCCAATTTCCGTGAAGTTGCAATTAAAGGTATTGTTTATAATTACCTCATCTTAGCTTTGAATGGACAAGGTGGTAGCCATAATACTAAAGAACTTGTGTCAGATGATCCCTTTTTCCCTTTGCTTTATTCTGTCGTTCATTCTATAGAATCTATACCTTGTTCCTGCTTCACAGCTTCTCGTTTTAAGCTGTCAGTTTTTTTAGGCATTCTAGTCTATTGTTATGAACTTGCCTCTGCCTTCACCCCCTGAATCACTGAATGGCTGCCTCAGTGTTTTTTTTTTTTTTTTTTTTTTTTTGAAACAGCTGCCTAAGTTATCATGAGAAACTGATTCGAGCCTTAATTTGCTGTTTTGCACCCTTCCCTCTTATTGCTGTTTCCTGGGTCAAGGACGGATTTCTTGAAAATTATAATCGAAGTCTGAATGGCTGGCCTTGTTTGTTGACTTGTAACCAATGTTGGGAGTTTTACGGTAGTTTGTTGTCTTGGCTTGTAATGTTTTTTGCTATACACTGAATTGTATTCAGATTATCCTTTGAAATTTGTAATGTGGATTATTGTGTACTGTATTTGGGAAACATTGTTGAACACATTTTGCTTCAATCACTTTTGTTAGTGTGTAATGGTGTTATGCACGATAACTCTCATACTTGTCTCCTTGTTTATGCAGGATTCTGGGATATGTATGACCCAGAAGGCTACTCTCTGTGGTTCTGTGACTACAAGTATAATGATGAGAACACTGTCTGTTTTGTGACCATGAACAAGGTTAGTGGGTTCTTGCAAAGAATGGATCTTGCTCGCAAGTATGCATTTGGAAAGATGCTGTTGATTGGATCAGAGCCCCCATACAAGATCAGGGGTTTGTGGCTCTTCCGTGGACCAGAGATCCCTCAATTTGTGCTTGATGAGTGCTACGACATGGAACTCTACGAGTGGACAAAGGTGGACATCAGTGATGAGGCTCAGAAGGAACGTGTTAGTCAAATGATTGAAGATTACGAGCCTTTTGAGGGAGAAGCTCTTCTTGACGCCAAATGCTTCAAGTGATTCAATAGCGTTCTTAATGCTAGGTAGTCATGTAGTTTGTTGGTCTACTGGTTCATTCTCGCTCCATAGTTGCTGACCTTGCTGCTACAATCCGCATAGGATTTTGCTTTAGAATTTTTCTTTTTTTTTTTATTTTTTATTATTATTATTAATTGACTCTTTATTTAAATATTCTGTTTAAGTTTCTGCTTTAAATGATTTTGCTGAATCTTGTGATCTAATGACAGCAATATAGTGAGTTCAATTACCTTACCACAAATACATATTGAAGTGTCTAATTTATTACATATTTCAGTGGTTTTGTAGTTAATGTTATGTTTTGGTATTTACGGCACCAAGGAGTGCAGAAAGTTATGAACAGCTAAATTGAGTGTGTAAAGATTGTAATATCAGCTTTATGCTATTGGCTTATCATTGTACATGTAACCTGGCTATTATTCTAGAAAACAAGAGGTAACAATTGTCAGGACCTTAAAATAAACAGGTACAGTAATTATCAATCGCGTTTGCTAATTTAAACGATAAAGTTATCTCTTAACTCTTATTTTAAAACCAAGTAAGAAATAAAGATAGAGCAATGCTTGTTGCTACAACAAACACGTTGAACTTCTAGCCAGAAGCTTCAAGTTCCATTTTTCGTCTGAACTTGTTCTGAGCTGCCTGCGTTTTTTGATTTACCTGCATCAGAATTTTCTACTGTCTCAAATCTGAAATTTTGCGTTATTTTGACATGGTAAGCAATTTAATGTATCATGTTATGAGTTCTAACTCGTATGAGGTAATACAACTAGTCATTAGACACACAATTTTTTTATGACGTTTCAGACTTTCAGTATTATCGACATTTTAAACTTACCATTAACGTATATAATTACTCTTAACAAAACTTTAACAAGCTAGGACTTATGAGAAGATATTTACCTTAGGTGAAATAGCTTCTTCTCAGAATTAGCATTAGCAAATTCAGAGCAATTCTGTAGCATGTTTTCTGCAAGTAAGTGATCTCGTGGCACGAAAGGATTAACAAAATCCAAAGTCTCACTTGGCATCATGTTTAGCTGTTGGAGTCTCTCAACTTCAGCTATCTGAAATTCAAACGTATATAAATGTAAGAATCGAATTAAGATTATACTCATAAAAATCATATTCTGAATCATCTTAGTATTAGTATCAATTACATTCGTAAAAGGATTCATTGATTCATAGAATATAGAATTAATATACAAATGAAAAGATAGAATCAGTCTCATGCCATTTTACATACCTTAGCTCGGAGAATCGAGTTTTCATTCTCAAGCTCTGCCTCCTACATGATTATATAATTGAATCAGGTTTATAAGTAGGGAAAATATGTATTACTAAGCGCGTATTGAATAGTACTATAGCTTATAATGTAATTTTGGAGTAGATAGAGATACATTATCAATGTTAACTTGAAAATCATTTTATTGTTGCATATGATTATGTTCATCATTTTCTATACATCGATAGCACAGATCAACCTCATGCATTACCCTTTTCTGACGGAATTCGATTTCAGCAAGTAGTGCTTCATGCTGTATTAGAAAAGTAATGCAAACAATGTTAACAAAACTTGTAATAAATGCAATGTTCAATCCAATTCATGATGCAATGTTTCACCTTTTTCGATCTAATTCTTGAGATGCCTCTTTCAAGTCGATTCTCAACTTGCTTCAACTCCTTAACAGTCAAGGAACTCAAGCATTCACCCATCAGATTTCTGTACAATAGTGATTTTTGTAGTGAATCAACCATATAATTTATAACATAATGTGATTCTTGATTATTAATTCCGGAAAGAGGTCATGTTTATTTTAAAAGTTTTTTAACGAGACTAAACATTTATTAGTTTTGAGTAAAGTTATAACACACGCTCTTGTTTAACTGTGCTCTTAAGATTTGGGTTGAAAGATGATGATGTAAATAACTGTTCAGTATTCTTTAATTTGCTGTCCTATATATATATGCCTTACTCTCTAAAGATCAAATTCTTGAAAGGGATCTAAATTGAATAACCTCTAATTTTAAATTCGACAAAGTGAAGAAATTAAACTCGATCCTTTTCATTTACATACAGAAAAAGTTCACTACAAATTTTCCTCTAATTTTGTGGCATTGAAATTCTTTCAATTCTTTGTTCATGTCAAAACACTTCCAACTTTAAAGTTTGTTACACATTTTTGTTCTTGCTTGTCATTACCGGGAGTTTTCGATCATTCCCTAAACTAACCATATCGATCATGCTAGACGAGCTTAAGACATAAGTTGCCTACGAAAAGACTGATCTACCAACGTACCATAGGCAAATAATATGATGTATCATACCTGTTAGAGTTTTGCATCATCTGTATTTGGTTCCTTAACTTTGCGGATTCGTGTTGGTAATACTTCATACAACAAAAAAGAATTAACACATTTCAACAGTTTGAGTTGTTTCCAACATTCTCAATTACTATAATTAATCATTAAAAAAAAAAAATATTTAATGCACAAAGTATAGATTGTGTTGAGTAGTACAAACATCCTTAATTATAAGCACTTATCACCTAAATTATGTACAAAGGTGAGTGTATGTAACAAGTAATATGGCACGGAGCGATTATATAAATGTCTCAAGTTTCTTTTTGTACGTGTTTAATATCTGTGGTACATACATATATTAAATCTTGAAAAGGCGTACTCGTGGATTGCCATAGCTAAAAAAATTCTAACCAAATATGAACTCAAGTGAGATTCTACATACCCTAAACTACATGCAACTAATTATTCATCCAACTGCTAATCAAAATAAGGCAAGAGTAGTGTCTCAAAGTAGTATAAGTAGGCAATAACTATGAGATAGGGTAGAATATTGGAATCCTTAGCTTTTAAAACATTGGCTATTTTCCTATATCTTGCATTGTTTCTTATAAAACTGAGTTTAAGGTTATATTAGCGGAGCCATTGTTCCTATTACACCTCTTTAATTGTCTTAATTGGCAGTTAAATCCTTAGATATAAACCATCATAAGCAATTGTTTTTGAATTTGTAAGTTTGAATTAGATCAAACTAAGGGTACGCTATCTTCACCTATAAAATTAAATTTCGAGGCTAAGGACTAAACAGGTCCAACCAAATGTAAACATAAGGTGAAAACAAATTAGGACTAATCTGGTTTAATAAGTTCAATACATGTATAAGGAAAGCACCCTAAAATAATGACTTTTTTTTTTTCCCTTCTTAGATCACATTTTTTTCATTTGATAAATTCTTCTTAGATTACTTAGCTTGTATCTTGCTGCCTCAAGTTTACCAAGTATGTGATCATTAATTATAGTGTAATACAAAGCACTAAAAATTTGCAATTTCAGTAACAAAATGTAATTTTTTTTACAAAATGTATTAGTTCATTTTTTAAAAATACAATAATTATTTTTGCAAGACATCTAACAAAGTTACCTTGTTCAATTTTTTCACATTCTTGTGTATTAGTTCAAACTGAACAATCATGTATCGCAAAGACGTAGTACGAAAATAATCAAATTTTTTGCCAACAATGATGACTCAGAACAGGTGGAAAAATCTGAAAAACAAAGGTAATTAAACTTACTTGAGCATTAATCTCTGTAACAGTGTTTGTGCCATCTGAATTTGCCTTCTTGTATTTCTCTATTGTCGACCTTATGCTAATCACGATTTCAGAATGACATGAAACAGTTAGAGGAAAGAAATTAGATAAAGGGTTTTATATTTCATATGAACATCTCAAGTCTCAACTACATTTCTCCCAAATTCCATATGAACATCTCAAGTCTCAACACATGCATTTTTATATCAATTATTCATTATTATGCCATATATGCACCAAAATTATGTCATACTCATGCATGTTCTTTCCTACTCACTTACTATTAAGAAGCCAATGTAGGTAAAATTCGACGACATTTAATTGCTTAGACATCAAATGTATATATAGGGATGTAGAGTCTTAATTGTTATATTTAGGTTAATATGCATTTTTAAAATATCAATTTTTTATCTTTTAACTATGATAGTTATATAACAAAAATGATCTAGGTTGTTTATTAGAGATGAGCCGTATAAAACTTAAGTCCCGTTTTTTAAGCTGAATTAAAGTAGAAAATGAACTAAGATAAGCTGAACTGAACTAAATATAAGCCTAAAAGAACAAGGCTTATAGATAGGAATATAGGATAACAAAGTCCTTCATGGAACTTTTCTTCCATATTCTTTGAAAACCAATTTTCCAATCAAGAAGAAATTTCTCATTTGTAAAAATTAATAATTAAGAGGATATATTTTTCTAGAAGTTTTAAATAAACAGTAGAGTCTCCTTAATTAGTTTCTTAATCAAATTAATTATAACCCCCATAAAGTAATATTTAATTAAAAAAATGGAGTATATAAAAAAAGTAATTGGATAATTTCAAAATATAGATTATGGTACTTTGTAATTTTTATTTATTTATCACCTCTATAAAGACAAGGAGTTAGTGAATGAAAAAACAACAAACAAAAAACAAGCAAAGAGTGAGGAGCAATAATAATAATAACACAAGAAATAATTATGATTTGTTAAGCTAAAAAAAGAAAGGAAAATATCCAAGAAAAAAACCTTTAAACAAAGCAACAAAGAAGTAATACTCGTAATATTGTAGCTCCACTGAAAGAAGCAAAGTATATATGGCATGCATGTCTACCAAACCCAAAGAACAGGAAGAATAGTTAGCTAATATAAGCTAGTTGTTCTACTTAGCACATAAATAGAAGGTTAAAATATTAAACCCAAAATCATTGCATCAAATAAATACTTGGTACGAAGAATGTATATTATATGGTCAATTCTATTTTGGTGAAATTTGGTTGTCACTTCACTTCACTTATGCATGGTCACTTTTATTCATTTCTTTTTACTTGAATTGTCATGTTATAAGGCTCCGTAGTTTTGTTTACTATAGTACAATATGAATTTGTTCAAACTTTCTAACTTTTGATCATAGTTATTGGCATTACACTTGCAGTCATAACTCATACCCCGATCGGCTTTAATGAATTCAACCATCATAACCGAATTACAACTTTGACGATTAGTATCTTTTGTGCTATGATGCCCATCCCCACCCACTTCCTAAATTAGATCAACTTTACGAATATATAATTAAATTTTAATACTACATTAACTTTTACATTACCCTAGGCCTTTTGAAATCATGTGTCCAAACAAGTATCGCGATAATTCTAACACACAAGAAGTAAATTTAAATAATTTCTTGATATATATACATGGGTTATTAAAAAAGTGTAGCCTATAAAAAATTTTAAAAAGTATAAAATCATTTCGACTTAATTATATATTAATTAATTACTTAGGAGATCAATTAATTAATTGTCCTAAAGCTTAAGTAAACATATCTAATGTCTCAGTTAAGGTCAAGCTTGCTCCTAGAATTCAGATCGATGAATTAGTGGACAACCTTACTAAATATTCCCACATATCTTTACAAACAATTCAGCTTCATTCCTTCTAATTTATGAAGTTTAGATCCTTTACAAACATTTTCCACAAAACAAAGCATTTAACTATGAACTAGAATGACATATAGAAGTAGAAGCTAATCAAGTAATAACCCAAGTCCCGTCAAAAAAAAAAAAAAAAAAAGTAATAACCCAAGTGACCAACTATCGATTCACGAAGTGGATGAGTTAAACCATAGATTATTAGAAATAAATTCGAATATCAAACCTTTGTTAATTTTAAGCTTATTAGAATACAATGATATATCAACACTTAGGACTAGATAAAGTGATTATGTAAATAGTGAAAAAAGTCAAATTGTAATAACACTTAAAAAACAGAAGGAGTATATTGCTAAAGTTGTTAACATTGTTACAGGCTATTCATATATATTAAGATCCTTAATCGATTTATCGATAACTAACAAATCCAACACTAACAATGATAAATTTTTGTACAATTAAAAAGCTTAAACAAGTTTTGAAATGAATGACAATATAAGAAATAATATATTTATTAGTTATAAAGGCATTTCCTTGGCTTCAAAGATTAATACGACCCTCCAAAAAAAAAAAAAAAAAAAAAAAAAAAAAAAAAAACTCCGTAATATCCACTTTATATTTTGTTTACCAACTAAAAACGAAATTATAACCATATTTTGAACTTTATTACATTCAACTAAGGGAAGAATTTTTTTTCAATTTCTATCTACGAACTTTATAAATAAACAAATTCATGTTAAACCCTAAGTACTAAAGACTTAAAATCAACCCAATAACCCCACCTTTTGTAATAATTCTCAAACACAACAAAACAGAAGTTGTAAAACGAAGTAAAAAATGCAAGAAAATGAGTGATTGTATGTATGTACTATACTTGTTGTTAGAGAACTCATAAACTCGGCCGCGGCTAGAGAAGACGATGAGGGCAATTTCAGCATCACAGAGGACAGATAACTCATAAGCTTTCTTCAACAATCCATTCCTTCTCTTGCAAAATGTCACCTGACGATTCGTCGTGTTCTCTATCCTCTTTATCTCTATCTTCCCTCTCCCCATTTCTGATTTTTCTTCTTTCTCCTGCACTTATAATAATAGTAATTCAACATTATATTTTCCATGTTTATATCTAGTAATTTGGTAACGTTATTCACAAACAAATAATCTTAATTGGAGTTGACGTAGTTCAAATCCTAGGAAAGTCGTGATTGTACTAATTTTAAATGTATAAAATTGTTAAAATAAAAATATTTTCAGCATAACTAAGGTCTAAGGGTAGTAGAAACTCGATCGTTTCTTAGTTTTAATAAAATCTATCACCTTTTAATTTTGTTGTATTTAAAAAAAAAACACCTTCGTACAAACAAACTCTTACAATTGAGTTTAGATCTCACATATTTGTAGTTAAAAACACTCATTTTTATCAATATCTGAATTTCATTATAAAAATAGTGTACAAAACTCATTTTTTTTCTAATACAAAATCGATCCAAATCAACGAAATTATAACATGATTTTTAAAGAATATGGGTTAGCTAGAATAAAAACCACTAGATCTATATCATAATTGATAAAATTTAAAAACCCCCAAAAAAACTGAAAATAAATAATTTGTGTATAAATGAGCTCATGAGTATATATATTGTGTGTAAAATAAGATCGATCTCATGCATATATTAATAGTAGTTACACACTTACACTTACACATGACTATAAAATACTGACATAACTCAAATATACACAATAAGAGTAGATCTAATAATAGACATTTTAGCTACTATTTTTAGTAGAAGTAATCAAAATTGAAATTATCAAGAAAATGGATATTTTTACATATATTATTTATATACATAATAATTTCCAAACAGATCTACAAAACTAGAAAACCACCTTCTTTTTTTTAATTGATAATAATAATAATAAAAAAATTAAATTAAATTAAAAAAAACAAACCTTGGGAAATGAAAATTAAAAAAAGACTGATTATTGAACAAGAAGTGAGAGTTTAAGAGAAAGCTGAAGTTAAAAGAAAAAAAAAAGAGCTCAAATTTCAAGGAGATGAATGAAATGAAAGAGAAGGTAGTATAAAAATGTTCAACCCTAAAAGAAAACGACGTCGTTGAATGAAGGAAAATAGGGATGGGGGAATGGGATTCTTTTTCCTAAATGCATGCAAGGTGACGTAGAGGTTAAGGACCTGAGGTAGAGTGCTTTGCAGGTGGAATTCTTACTATTTTTGGTAATTTTTGCTTTTTTTTAAGTGAGATTACTATTTTGCCCTTTTCATGGTCCCTTTGAATTTAATGGTCTATGGAGATAAACAGAAATTGTAATTGTGGAGCAATAATTGTTTTATTTTTTATTTTTTTATTTTTTATTTTTATTATAATTTTTTTTAAAGTAAGATATAGGGGTAGATTAGGAACGTCTTCTCGCAAGACCGTGCCCTAATCTATCTAAAAACAAGAAATAAGAAAATTTGCTATCCATAAATGGGTCAATATCTTGGTGCGCCGGAGTGAAGTAGCCAAGATAGGCAACATAATCTGCTGCCCGATAGATATGCTGAGACTATTTCCGAGAAAGAATTCAAAATGTTCTTGATATCATCCATTAGCAGCTGGAGCTTCCACAGGCAGTTATAATGACCCTACAAAATATTAATAACAATGAGATTATCACCTTCAATAATAATATGAGTGATATTATGCTCCATAGCTAGGAGGAGGCCATTACGAAGGACAATGGCTTCAGCAAGCTGGACAAGAGCCTAAATTATAAGTATGACTAGCAATATGATCCCCTAAATGATCTCTAAGAACAACACCAGCCGCAGATGCTGAATTGTGAAGGGCGGAATCATCAAAATTGAGTTTACAATAGCCTACAGGAGGTGGGGACCAAGCAATAATAGCAGGGGAAGACTGACATTAGTAGGAATAGACTAATTTCTTGGAAGGTGGATATCATCCAAGAGAGAACGAGCCTGCCATTCTTGAAATAGAGAAAAGGCAGAATATAAATACTAGTTATATTAGCTGAAGTATTTTTAAAAATTATAGCATTACGACATTTTCAAATGCTCCAAAAAAGGATGGCAATCTTAGGGAGTGAGCGGAGAGAAGATATCTTGAGAGATCGAAAAAGATCTGGGATCGTAGGAGAGGAGGGTATCAAACCTACCCAAGTACGAACAAAAGTAGAAGACCAAAGATCTAATGAGAAAGGACAGAGAAGAAATAAGTGTTGTTGAGACTCAGAATACGTATTACAAAAAGCACAAGAAGAAGACAAATTAATATTTCTAGAAACTAAAGTTTGTCTAGTAGGGAGACTGTTCCGAAGGATTTGCCATAAAAAGATTTTAATTTTGGGTGGAATATCTAAATTCCATATCCACCGAAATTCCCATTTAGGAAAGCATGGGATAGAATTGTGGATCAGCCAAGTGGCTGATTTAATAGTAAATTGACCATCATTAGATAGATCCCAACGGGGTTCATCGGGAACAAGGGCAGAAGGGAGGGGGATTCCCCCGATCATTTAGACAAGGTCATAAGGGAGGACCGAAAATAGAAGGGGAACATTCCAAGTATTATTTTCTAAGATAAACATATCAACAGTGACATCAATAATAGGAATATGATCTGGGTCAAAATTTAAAAGAGCAATAATAGTAGTATCAGCACACTAAATATCGACCCAAAAAAGAATAGAAGAACCATTTCCAATTTTCCATCGAAGGCCCCTAATCAGTAGAGGACGAATTTGAAGAATTTTTTTCCAAATCTAAGAATCTGTAGGTTGAGAACGATAGCTCAAAAAGTGAGAATGACGAAGGTATTTTTCCGTAATTGACTGTACCCATAAATTGGAAGGTTCAGTCATGATTATCCAGTCTAATTTAGCTAGAAAAGCTGAATTAATAGCATCAGATTTACGCAAACCTAGGCCACCTTGACTCTTGGGTTGACAGATAGTATCCCAAGCAACCATTGGAAGACCTTTTTTAGCAGGAGACTGTTTCCAAAAGAAATCTCGATTAATTTTATCCAAAGAAGAGATAACAAAAACAGGATGACGAGCTGTAGTCATTCCATAAGAAGGAATAGCCTCTAGATGGCTCTAAATTAGCATAATCTTACCAGCTTTAGAAACTAAATTAGAAGACCAGGAATTCATTTTTTGATCTGCTTTTGAGATAAGATATTGAAAGTTATCTTTATTGAAACGTGAGGAATTAAAGAAAACCCCTAAATAACGGACAAGAAAAGACTTAGGAGTCATATTAAAAAAAAACTAGCCAAATTAGATTTATGACTATTTGAAATATATTTAGAAAAACAATAGAAGATTTATAGAAGTTAATTAGTTGGCCAGAGAGCGAAGAAAACTCGGCTAAAGTATGACGGAGAGTGTTACAAGCCGTTATCGTAGCTTTACAGAATAATAGACTATCATCTGCAAATAAAAGACAAGGGATTATCGGGGATGATGGCGCAATTTTGACTCCAATGTCTAGAGATTTGCTTTGGCTAAGGAGGAGCAATTTTTTAGCCAAGACCTCCATAAATAACAAACAGGGCAGGAGAAAGAGGATCACCCTGCCTTTAACCTCTTGTGGGCTTAATTAGATTAGTCGTGGTATAATTGACTGGTGGAGAGTAAGACACAGTAGTAATACAATCTTTAATCCAGCTAATCCAAGTATGACTAAAACCAAAAGATGCGAGGGTGGACCATAAAAAATTCCATTCAATACGATCATAAGCTTTTTCCATATCAAGTTTAAGGGCTAACCAACCTTTCTTACTTTTAGATTTATTAAAAAGGTTAAGAACTTCATGCACAAGAAGAATATTATCTTGTATAGCATGGTCTGGAGTAAACACATTTTGGTGGGGGCCAATAACTTTCTTAAGAAAAGGCTTTAGATGATTAACCAAAAATTTTGAAATTGCTTTATAAATCGTAGTACAAAGACTAATAGGCCTATAATGACTTGCCTTAGTTGGGTAGGCAATTTTGGGAATCAACATAATAATAGTATGATTAACCTCTTTTAAGAGAATGCCATTATAGAAAAAGCCCTTTATTGCTTTACAGATATCCGAACCTAAAATTGCTCAATAATGTTGAAATTTTTTTGGACCATAGCCATCAGAACCCGAGGCTTTATAGGGAGACATATCGAAGAAAGAAGCCTTAATTTCATCATCCGTAAAAGCTTTAGTAAGTTCCATATTATCACCGGAGGAAGTGACAGGATCAATCCAAGGAAGAGAGATAACCCTTTCTCGGGGATGATCGGATTTGAACCGTTTAAAAAATTCAGAATAAAATAGGTTAGTTATTTCAGAGGGGGTAACAACCCATTGATTATCATAATTTTGAAGGCGAAAAATTTGCTTTTTACTAGAACGAAATTTCATTGACTCATGAAAAAAACGAGAGCTCCAATCACCTTTAGTTAACCACAACTTTCTAGCATTTTTGCCCCAAAATATTTGGCCAAATAAAAGTAGTTTTTCTTTTTGACGAATAAGACAGATAAGATGTTGTCGGATATGAAGGTTATCAGGGTATAATAGTAATTGCGATTCTACCGATAACAATTTAGTCTGATTTAGACTTAACTTAGTTTGAATAATACCATATTTAGCATGATACCAATGTTTTAAATCAATTTTGGCACGTTTCAATTTTTGTAAAATACAAAAGAAGCGAGAACCATTAAAACGGAGATTTCAATTTTTGGAGATAATATTATGAGCTTCTATATCTATAGTCCATGCATTTTGGAATCTAAATGTAGATAACTTAGGAGTGAGATTATTATCAGTAACTAAAACATTAGGAGCATGAACAGAAACAGTGAAATGTTCATATAAAACATTAGCAGACGCATAAAGAGAGGACCATTGGGGACTAACAAAAGAACGATCTAGACGTTCATATATAACATGTGATTTTGTTGTACGTTTCCAAGAAAAGGGATTACCCACCGCAGGCAAATCAGTAGCTTGAGAAAAGTGAGAAAACGTTGAAGTCGAAAGCATCTAGCAGATGTAGGGGATTTGCCCCCTTATTTATTATCAAGTAACAAGAGGTCATTGAAATCTCCAACAAGACGCCAAGGAAGAGGTGAATTAGAAATAAGATCAAAAATTTCGAACCAAAACATACTTTTTTGGGATGACTGAGCAGGTGCATATATAGATAGCAAAAAGCATAAAAATGTTATCTTGAGCTAGGTCATGAATAAGTAAAGATGCAATGCGATGTTGTAAATGTGTAACAGTTACATCTAACTTAGATGTATTCCAACAAATCCGCATCCCCCTACAATGGCCTTGAGGGTTGATAATGCGGACATATTCATAGCCAAGAGTTTTACTTAATCTATGACTATTAGAGGGAGAAACCATGGTTTCAATAGCAATAAAAATATCTGGGCTACGCTTCTTTTTAAGAAAAATCATCTCGCTAATAGCCTCCGACCGCTTTGCACCCCGAAGATTCCAGCTAACAATCTTCATTAAAATAGAAATGGTACACAGAACAACATAATACAGAGTTGTAGGGGATATTGTACCCTTGCACAAAAGACCTATCCAAAAACCAGGTCTTAGAAAGACCAATTTCATAAGTTCCATATGGAACATATATCTGTAAAAGGAAAGAATCCAAGCCACATAAATAAAGGAAAGCTAACTTCGAAAGTGGGGAACAACTGTTAAAACAAACAAAAGAGAATAAGAAGAGAAGGAAATCAAATTGAAGGAAAATTAATAGCAAAAAGAAAAATATAAAGTAGAACCAAGAGTGCGATAAGTAAAGAAACAAAAAACACATTACAAAGAGTAATGTAGGAACAATATGATCTGGGGTAGTAGCAAAAAATAAAACCAAAGCCTTAAATACACAATAATTGTCATAAGTTCCATTAGCAACATAAGGCAAAGAAGCATAAATTCCAGTGAAAAAATAGAGGAAAAATTGTAAAAAACGAAGGACATAGCAAGACCAACGTAAGAGCAAAAGATAAGAATAGGCAAAAGCAAGATCAGGGAGAAAATTAGCAGCTCGTAATTTCAAAAAGCCAGAGTAAGAAAAACACCTAAAAATAATAGAATTCCCAACAAATACCAAGAGAAGCTGATTAAGAAAATCACATTTCAATTCTTTTAAGTCAAACGAGTGAACATAATACAAGGTCCAAATTAGAACTTGTTGTAAAATAAAGAGGTATTTCAAGGCTACAATAAGAAGTAAACAATAAGATTGGAAAGATGATCTTATGACAGTGGAAGGAAAACAAAAGCAAAAGAGAGATTTGGTGTGGCGTGATCAATCAATGCCTTTGTAAACGAATTCCGGCACAACCGGGGTGCACAATTGTAATCGCCGGATCGTCCCCTAAGGTTACTCACCACTCTTACACTAAGGCACTTTAGAGTAAGAGATGGAGTCGATGAAAAATTATGCCCAAAGAACAAAAGTGTTTAACTTGTGTTTGATATTTTTCAAGTGTCCAATCAGAAAAAATCATCCTTCAATTTATATTAATGGATGGAGGAAGATGGAAAAT